AAGGAAATAAAAAATGGCCCAAACCCTGATTAATGTTAAATGAGTTATGCCAATTGTATTGTTTCCCAAGTGAACTCTGATGGTCAGGAACAATACAGCGAAACAGAGCGCCCCAGCTACCCAGAGGCATACTGTGGCTCTCAGCAGGCCCAGGACATACCACACAAGAAGGGCAGTTCCTGCCCTCCCGGATATTTGCCCTAAATATGACAAAACTACTTCACATATACCGAAAATTATTACAGATTTAGTATTTATGAATTGCTAAACTTCTTAACCTGTTTATACTTAGTTTCTCCAAGTACAGTATTATGTTTCTGTTATGTTTCATTTTATTATTACCACCTCCAAATTTGCTTTGATTTGATCTAAAATGATTTATCCATATTAGCTCCTTTTATAAACTTCCACTATTATTTCTTTTAAAACAGAGATATTAAAATACACACAATAGTCTAAGTGGGATCTGAGAGGCGCTGAGCATAACAGAATAATTGCTTTCTGACTCTCACATGTATACTCTTCTAGATTGTACTGAAAATAACTAGCACAGTACTGACCTGCCCAGCTATACCACCATCACCAAGTGATCACACCAATAAATTCTGTAAGAATTAGGGCTGCTTTATTTTTTTTAAAAAGGCAGCTGGGGTTAAGAAGAAAACAAATACTTTCTACATCATGCAACACAAAATTGGCTTGCACCATATGGCTTAATAGCAATGTTCTGGGTAAATTATACTTCAATGCAGGAAAAAAATACATAAAGTTTTAAAAAATCTGCCTATCGATGAAGATAAGCAAGTAAACATTAAGCAAAACTACTGTTTTTCTGTGAACTTTATAATTTCCAGATCACCTTTTCCTACCTCTCTGGGTACCTATTTCCCACTTTACACAATCAATGCTAATACCAAGTTTTTCTTGCCAACCTCCTCACATTAAAAGAGAGAGACCTAACCCTAGCTATTTATACTATTCATATTTGTGTATATATGATTTCTAATGTTGCATTTTAAGTCTCTTATTCTAATTGGAAACATTTCATCCTTGTTTAAATTTTTAAAAATATAACCAAATAACTGGCACAAGAACAGATCCATAGATCAATGGAACAGAATAGAGAGCCCAGATATAAACCCACACAAAAATGGCCAATTAACCATGATAAAGGAGCCATGGATATACAATGGGGAAATGACAGCCTCTTCAACAGCTGGTGTTGGCAAAACTGGACAACTACATGTAAGAGAATGAAACTGGATTACTGTCTAACTCCATATACAATAGTAAATTTGAAATGGATCAAAGACCTGAATGTAAGTCATGAAACCATAAAACTCTTGGAAGAAAACATACGTAAAACTCTCTTTAATATAAACATGAACAACTTCTTCATCAACATATCTCCACGGGCAAGGGAAACAAAAGCAAAAATGAACAAGTGGGACTATATCAAACTAAAAAGCTTCTATACAGCAAAGGACACCATCAGTAGAACAAAAAGGCATCCTACAGTATGGGAGAATATATTCATAAATGACATATCTGATAAGGGGTTGACATCCAAAATTTACAGAGAGCTCACACACCTCAACAAACAAAAAGCAAATAACCCAATTACAAACTGGGCAGAGGATCTGAACAGACACTTCTCCAAAGAAATTCAGATGGCCAACAGGCACATGAAAAGATGCTCCACATCGCTAGTCATCAGAGAAATGCAAATTAAAACCACAATGAGATATCACCTCACACCAGTAAGGATCACCACCATCCAAAAGACAAACAACAACAAATGCTGGCGAGGATGTGGAGAAAGGGGAACCCTCCTACACTGCTGGTGGGAATGTAAATTAGTTCAACCATTGTGGAAAACATTTCTCAAAAAACAAAACAGAAATACCATTTGATCCAGGAATTCCACTCCTAGGAATTTACCCTAAGAAAACAGGATCACAGATTAAAAAAGACATATGCACCCCTATGTTTATCACAGCACTATTTACAATAGCCAAGAAATGGAAGCAACCTAAGTGTCCATCAGTAGATGAATGGATAAAGAAGATGTGGTACATATACACAATGGAATATTATTCAGCCATAAGAAGAAAACAAATCCTACCATTTGCAACAACATGGATGGAGCTGGAGGACATTATGCTCAGTGAAATAAGCCAGGTGGAGAAAGACAAGTACCAAATGATTTCACTCATCTGTGTAGTATAACAACAAAGCAAAAAAGCATCTGTGTAGTATAACAACAAAGCAAAAACTGAAGGAACAAAACAGCAACAGACTCACAGAACCCAAGAATGGACTAACAGTTACTAAAGGGAAAGGGACTGGGGAGGGTGGGTGGGAAGGGGATTAAGGGACATTATGATTAGCACACATAATATGGGGGGGCACAGGGACGGAAGTATAGTACAGAGAAGACAAGTAGTGACTCTATAGCATTTTACTATGCTGATGGACAGTGACTGCAATGGGATATGTGGGGGGGACTTCATAGTAGGGGGAATATAGTAACCACAATGTTGCTCATGTAAAACCTGAGCATAAGTTTGTATATCAATGATACCGTAATTAAATATATATATATATATAAAACCAAACAACTGGAGAGTCTGGAAAAAAAATCTAAGAACAGGAAAAAAATAAAAGGTAAGGAGTACCATGTCTGTTTACTTTTATTTCAATGATGTTATTCTTGGTAGGAAAAATTCAGGATAAACAATAAACAGATTATTTTGGAACTGAGAAAGATGGCTGAGAGAGAGTATAAAAACAGCCAAAAAACCCAAACAAACAAAAAAACCAATCTTTCGTTCCCAGATGGCCTAGAACAATAGTGGAGACCTAGTCAATCTGTGATTGACAGCGATTAGGAGCTGCCAAGGACTTGGCCCACTTCCCACCTCACGACTTCTTCCAAATGCTCCAAACCATCCTTACACTGAGACACCTCTGTCCTCCCTAGCACCTTCATTTGCTCTCCCTTTCCCACCTGAACACAGGTCCTTCCTTTTCCCTATCATTGATTAAACAATGAACTCTATTATTCTGGAAAGAAAAGAAAAGTATATCTCTGCACCTATCCCAAGACTCCTAGAATGGGTGTTAATAAATAAATAATTGGGCATAATTTGTACTTTAATTCATATGTTGGGGTATGATTCTATATCATAATTTAATCTCTGCTAATCGCACATTTTAGAATTTTCTTCATTATTTCTATGTCTGGTAATAAAATTTCTATAAAAATGTGTTTCTGAGAAGCTTCAACTTTATTAATAGAAGTGCTTTTCCATATGAAACTAACCATTTCTCATCTTTTATCCACTATTTGGTTTTGAGTCTTAAATCAGGGGTCCTTAACTTTTTAAAAAATACCTTAATCTATTTGAGAATGGAGTGAAAGTTCTGAACCTTCTATATGGAAAATTACAAACATACACAAAATTTTACACAGAGATTCAGTTAAGAAATTCTCTGAGGTCCATCCGAGAGGCCCAGGGTTAAAAACTGCTGCTTCCAGTGAACTTAAGAGCCTTGCACTTCAATATTGCTAAAAATGGACATTCCTTCTATTTCTAAAACCCCTTATGATTCCATGCATTTTTTTCTGAGTATCTATAAACTAAAAAACTAAAACTTGTATTTATTGGTTAAAAAATAAAAGCAAGGTCAACTATAATAACAGAATGCTTATATAATTTAATGTTTTCTTGTCTCAGTTCTTTTGAGATTTGATGTGCTAGGATGATTTACCTAAGTCCAGTGCTGATACCATCTGTATGTGTACAAAACATACAGCCAACAGCCATATCATTCAGGCTTGGGCATTAGAATTGAGCTTCATTTAAAGATTACAATTTAAAAACTTACTGAAGGTTAGATAAGTTTCATATATATGAAAATAAAACTGTTCCTCAAGAAATTCTTCCAAGGCCTGTCACATTGCCTTGTACACAGTAAGTGCTTAATAAACTAAGTAAAATGGACAGCATAAGTGGAATGAAGTTAGAACAGTCATCAACAATTACTTTCTTACACACGAACCTCATAATTTGTAATTAATTTTAATCTGAAATATGTTACACAGCAGAATCAACTGTAATTTTATAGTCATTACTCACACATCAAAAATCCAAACTGTTGTATTTAAAGCCATAAAATTTAAATCTCAAATTATACCAGCTCAAACTACTTGTAAATCTCTGGAAGTTTACACATATGAAAATATGCTACTATATATACCTATATATTCTCAATGGGCAAGTAATTTGAGTAATGTTCCTCTTGAATGGAGAGCTTTGTGGCAGGTGGGATTTTCCTTGGAACCAACCGCTCACGTTGTAATTTCGCTGTCATGAATTGAGATCTTTGGCCAGTAAACAGAATAAAGTTTATCTTTACTGATCTATCTGTCCAGGCCTTATCATTCTTATGCTTTGATATGAATACATACACACATTTACATTCTTTTAAAAAAATGAAATCTACACTAAAAATCTCAAGAAGCTAGGAAAGACTCTTCAATAAACATTTTTTGCTGTTGTTTATGCAAATGTGCATAGGCATATTAAACACTGTAAGTGTAAGTCATGGCTAAATTATAAAATCTTACATAATGATACAAAAACCAAATGCATTGCTATTAATAAAAATCTACTTAAGTCAAATAAGTATATATTAATCCTTAATGTCTGCCCTTTAGGATAATTGCTTTTATTCAAGAATGTCAGGCAACCAAGTAATCATGGTGCCTCTAGAATGCCAGTTTCAGAGACTTTTCTCATTCAGTGAAGGTAACTGCTTCAAATGATAGTTTCATATTAAAAACTCAGTATAAAAATGATTTTGAGCCAACTGTTTTCACCAATGCTTAAAAATTTTTAACATTAAAACTTTTTATTTAACGTTAAAACATTCATACTGTCCTGAGATAGTACTTTATTTGGGATAGATCCTCAGTACTCATGTAGAATTCTTACCTATAATGTACATGTGTAATTGTTGGTTTCCTGTATCCAAGGATCCAGGTTTGAATATCTATGGGTTCAGCTTTGGGATAAGCTATGGTTGTATCTATAATCCATTGGAGGCCTTTTGATCTGCTGTCTGAGAACAAAGAATAAAATGACTTAAAATTGGATTGATTTTTATATTATTTACAGCAAATAACATAGTATAGATTAGCTGAGGAGTTAGAACAGTCATCAACAATTACTTTCTTACACACGAACCTCATAATTTGTAATTAATTTTAATCTGAAATATGTTACACAGCAGAATCAACTGTAATTTTATAGTCATTCCTCACACATCAAAAATCCAAACTGTCGTATTTAAAGCTGAGGAGTATAAAGCCTATTGATATACCTTTTGCTTTAAGAAAATAGGATGAACTTTAGTGTTACTGTTCTATATGATGCACTCAGGATGAAATTAAGCATTTCATAGTATATTATGAAACTGCTGAATCTCAAACAAATAAACAAGTAATATTGCTATAGTTTATTGGACATGCATCACTCAAGCATTCAATACAATTATGGACTACCCAGGTCTAATTTATATTTTATTGCTCATGAAAACTGGCCTAAGAAAAAGTCAGAAGCTGAAGTATCACACCACAAAAGTGAAATGCAGACCTAAAAACAAAACAAACCCATTTACTAAAAATAATACAATACAAACACCAAGATTTGTGAAACTTGGGAGACATAAATACTTGAATAAGGCAGAAAATTTAAGCATTTTATTTACATACATCATCATCAGTTGCTGCTCTTGTTTAAAACAGAACAAAAAAACTCCCATTATAGCAGGAGTTATGTACAAATAAAGCAGTACAGGTGTCTACCCTCCAGTAGGAAGGACTGGTGACAGAGTGTTATTGTGAGAGGCAGCAAGCAGGTTCTGTTTCCTTCGGCCATCTGCACACTGTTCCCATTCCCAGCATGGAGTACAAGGCTGAGAGAGAACTGAGAGGGGAGTCCTCACAGGGAATGCTGAAAACCAGACTAACGTGTAATGGGCTATCCTTTGAAGTACTTAAGAGAGCATTAAAAAAACAAAATTTTCAAACACAAGTCCAAATGTGCATTACGAATCAATGGTATTTTATTTTTTTATGTCAAATAATTAAAAACTGGCCTTAAGTTCTATGAACATTTTAGACAACACTCTGAAGGGGAATATATACCCATAAATGAAATAAGAAAAAAGAAATAAATTTTAAAATTACTGATTGCCAAAGGAACAGAGTTTTGTAAAGAAACACATTTTAACATGCTACCAGTGATGCAAGTGCTGAAATGTTTAGGGTGGAGTATACTGATGTCTGCCACTTACTCTGAGATGTATTTTTAAAAAAACCAAAAAACTAAGATGGACTAATAGAAGGATGGAGAGAGCAAATACAGTAAAACGTTATAGAACCTAGTAGGTCAGCTCGCAGATATTAACTAGAGTTTTTTCAACTTTTACGTATGTTCGAAAATTTTTATAGTGAAATGGTTGGGAAAAATATCACCAGAGTGCATCTTAATATCTATTAATATCTATTATTAAACAAAAATACGAATCCTTTGTAAGTTAATGAAATACAACTTAATTTTGATATGTGTATGGATCACATATTAAAAGATACATGAAGGCATGGTTTGTATTCATGTGAAATAAAACATTAAATTATGACTTATGAACACTGAAGAAAATAAAACACAAAACACCAAAAAGCAGAGAAGAAAATGGTAAAATATAAATGTACCCGAAGTTTTAAGGTATATAACAAGTTTTAGGATTTTTCCTGAAGAGCTATAACAAAAATTTTAACTAAGATAAATAATAAACTACTTTGCTTTGGTTATAGACAGAAATGGTTTCTCCCCAAAAGAAAAAAACATTTTTCTTCACTCTCATGTAATTAGTATGAGACTGCCCCTACCTCTGAGATATGGCCACAGGGTCTGACGGTGAAATGGTTTAAAAGAGCAGTTCTTACTACCAAGGGCGACTCATCTCCCTTGGGAAGACCCGCACCTTCAAGCTTTGGCTTGGCTGACACGGCCACAGTGTTTCTCCAGCAGTGAAACTATTCTGAACTCTCCTTTTTTATGAAAAGACTCTTTCAATTTGTCTTTTTAATATATGATGAAAGATTATGGGAGCCAACTGCCAAGTAGCTGCTTACATAAAACAACTGAAAGGGAGACTCAGGGCAATCTCACAGGTATTATTTCTTGGGCTGATCCTAAGAGCTATTCAACAACACACACTTTAAGGACCAATCCCTTCAATTTCTCTTTTTATCTAAAGAAAATGAAAAGAAATACCAAACTGCTATTATGGAAATAGGGTAGGCTTAGTAAGTTAATCATTCAGCTTTTTTTTTAAATTTCAATTTTGGTATCATTAATCTACAATTACATAAGGGACATTATGTTTAGACTCCCCCCATCACCAAGTTCCCCCCCCCACCCCATTACAGTCACTGTCCATCAGCGTAGTAAGATGCTGTAGAATCACTACTTGTCTTCTCTGTGTTGCACGGCCCTCCCCGTGCTCCCCACACACACACATTATACATGCTAATCGTAATGCTCCTTTTTTTTTCTCCTTCTGCCTCCTTTCCCACCTACCCTCCCAGTCCCTTTCCCTTTGGTAACTGTTAGTCCACTCGGATTCTGTGAGTCTACTGCTGTTTTGTTCCTTGAGTTTTTGCTTTGCTCTTACACTCCACAGATGAGTGAAGTCATTTGATACTTGTCTTTCTCCATCCTGCTTATTTCACTGAGCAAAATACCCTCTAGCTCCATCCATGTTGTTGCAAATAGTAGGATTTGTTTTCTTCTTACAGCTGAATAATATTCCATTGTGTATGTGTACCACATCTTCTTTATGCATTCATCTACTGATGGCGTTCAGCTTTTTAATTTATCATTTATCACCAAACTTTCACAGTATCTTAGATAAACCTGTTCAAAACAGTTTTCATGCTATTGGCACAAATATTTTCTGCAAGTCTTCATAGTTCACCAGGCTATCTCAAAGACAGTTGCATCTTTGAGTATAGTTTACTTTTTCCTGGCCGTAGATAAAATACCTATTCATTATTTCTTTAAAATACAGAAAAATATGAAAAAATGGGAAAAAAAACATACTGTTACAACTCAGATAAGCAATCACTGCTAACATTTTGGATTATCACTCATTTTCTACTGTCTTACTGTTTATAAATCTGAGCTCATATTGTTTTCATAAGAGTTCTATGTTCCTCCCATTTCATTAACATTTTAGAGCATAAGCATTTTCCAAGCCAATAAAACTCTCCATAAACACCATTTGTAATGGCTGTATTGTATTCTGTTGGATAGATATTTGATAATTACTTATCTATTCTCCCTTCTGGCTATTTCCATTTTTTTGCTATTGGAAATAATGCTGTGATAAACTTTTTTGACAGTATTTCAGATTATTTCCTTTTGATAAGTTATTGTTTGAGTGGAATAACTGAGTCATTTATCAACATTTTAAGGCTCTTAATAAATACTGTCAAACTGCATTCAACTCATTCTCTGTATTAAACACTAACAAAACTTTCTAAATTTGATAAATGACAAACACACTATATGTCATTACTATTTACATTTATATATCTATTATTAGATTTTCAAATTAGTTATTTCTATTCCTGTATCTTCTAACCTAAGTAATTTCACTTCTTGGAATCTATATCAGACATATTTCCACAAATATGTCAAGATATTTACAGGGATGTTTACTGTAGCAACGGAGTAAGAATAGGTAGGGTAAGGGAAAGGCATCTTTGACTTAATTAATTTCTTATTAGTTGAACAAATTATTGTAAGAATGGACTACTTTAATAAATGAAAACATTAAAAAATTATATTTTCATCTTTTTCCTATTATTTCTATTGGACAAAATTATAAATACAAAAAAAAATCAATGTTATCTCCTGAAACTCCTGAAAATCCTTAATTCCAACAAAAGAGAAAAACCATCATACCTGATTCTTTAGCATCTCCACCTGCTGGACTTCCATTTTCTTGTCGTGCTACAAGTGCACTCAGAATAATATTTGTTGCCCCAACCCTTGGCAGAGTGACATGTGTAAGAAATGGCAAGTTGTTTTTCTTGGCAAATGCCTGACTTGTTTCTCTCCTCTTCCTGAGGAAGCCCCCTTCTGGAAATAAAACAATCCATTTTCTATCTCTGCTCCTGTAATTATTTTCTAGATGTTTCTTGAGAAGCAGCAGCTGTTGGTCACGATGAGATTTTCCCTAGAAGGTAGACACACATATATAATAAGTATGGGTACATTTGAAATTAAGATGCTTTAAAATTTAAACAGAAATAATAGCTTCTAGAGTAAATCCCAATTATAGACTGCAATATTGATTTTTCTTTAATTACCTCCCCTTTTGACCATAGCATAAAAAGAAGTTACTAGAATATTAATAAACCCTTTTTCTAAAGAAAAAAATTGCTCCAATTCAGTGACTCTTTACTGAGTGCCTACTACCTGTGAGACACTGCCCTACACAACAGAGACAGAGAAGTAAGAAAGAGACCCTCCGGGAGCTTACTGAGTTGAGGGGGAGACAGGAAACAGGAGTGTAATTCAACCGGTCATATGTGTTAGGAAGAGTAAGAGGGTCGACAGGGTCAGGAAAGCAGATCTGAGGAGGTAAAATCTGAGCAAAGAACTGGTCGTGGGGGAAGAAGCCCTGTGAACAGGAGAGGCAGACAGAGTCTTCTAGGTGATGAGAACACAAAGGACCAAGGCAGCGTGATGAATGAGGAAGACACTGGGAGGAGAGGAAATTGCAGAGAAGAGATAAGGGCCTTGAGCCTGGTAAGTAGTTTGGGATGGGAAGTCATTAAATAGTTTCGAACAAGGGAGTGTTGTGACCTGATTTACATTTTTTAGAGATCTGCTGACTCCAGTGATGAAAAGACCACACAGTAGCTATGCAGTAGTTCAGACAAGGGAGTTTGGTGAGGTTGGACTATAGCACATTGATGAGCAGTGGATACATTCAGGGGAAAAAATCTGAAAGTAAAGCTAACAGGACATTCTGATGGACTGAAAGAGAGGCAAGAGGAGGACTTGGAGCCTGAAAAGAGGAATCTAGAAAAATGTGTAGGAGAGCCCCAAACCCACAATTCAGTATCACAAAGATTCCTCTTTTTGGTATGACCCATTTGCTAATGGTTTTCCAGCCAACACAATTACAGAAGCTCCCCAAAATACTTTGTACGCTTTCTCCCAGTCGTTAAACTATTCCAAATGCAAAACAACTAAGACATTTTCCTAGCTAATTTTCCGAATTAAATAGATTATGATTAAGCTTTATTTGCTTATTAAATTCCCAAGACTAGGTGCAAAATATTTTTAACATTCTTGGAACTATTTTACCAAAATTGCATAGTAGCAAAGTCACAAGAGATTTTCCTTAACATTTCTTTCTCCCCATGTTATAGATTTTTATTACTATATATCAGGGGGAAAAACATGCTCTTTAGAAATGAATTTGCAAATCTTTTAAGTATGAAAAAAATTTACAATGTAAAAAGGACCACATTATTTTCTATTTTTATCCCCTCAAAGTGCACTGATAATTTGGCCTCTTCTTGATGCCTGAGGATTATAATGAGGGTCAACTGTTAACAAAACACTATAAATCCAAAAATTTCTTCAGATGCATTATGTAAGGGGCTTAGTTAGCTTTTTCCTCCAGACAGCAAATAAGCTTCAATTGTCGGTTCTGCTATCTTCTCTTCCAGTGATACTCTTAGACATTAGGCTAGGTTCTTTGTTTAACTGTTCTGATCACTCTTTATTTTGTCTTAGCCTGTGGCCAGTCCCCACTGCCCCTTCCTTCTGAGGGTCCAGTGCTTTTATTCATCTCTGCTCAGAATAACCAAGGATGTTACCAGAAGAAACTAGGTAATCACACAGCATGTGAAAAACAAAAATATGTTTTGTACATAAAACTGTCTGAGGTAAAGTATTTTGTGACACCTATTTTCATTGAGCTTAGAAGTTTTCCTACACATTTCCAGTTTACTTCTGAACTTGTGGTTCTCAGAAGAGGCTTAATTAGATTCATCAGTTATTCATTAAGTACTTATTAATGTGCAGGTATACTGCAGAATCCAAGTTGAAGTTGCTAAATATATAAGTTCCAGATAAATGTGGCATTACCATACATAAAAACTCTTGCATAGCATATTTTCAGTTATCCATTTTTGAGAGAACAAAGCATGTAATAGTAGCCATACCATGGAAATACCGTAATGTAGTGCTGACTTGACAACAGGGTATGATTATTTTTCCTACATGAAACTATTCCTAATGCTTGGGACCCATCCTCAATCCACATTTTCTATCAAAACCACATTCATTCTTTAGATTTATGCCAAATTTCATCCCTAAACTTTTTCAGGTTTCACAGAAATCTGGTGTATTCACTTTTCCTACTATGAATTCCCAAAATATTTTCTTTTATTTATTTAATAATCTCCCTAATGCTCATATAGAATCCTTCTATATCATGTAACAGTGACTTGTAAATAAAAATAATAGTGAAAATAAAGATCATCATAGTGGTAATCATGATAAAAATGATAACAAAGGCAGCAGGCACTGCTCTGAGTGCTGAACATGTATTGTTTCATTTAATCCCCACAAAAGCCCTTAGAACACAAAGCAAGTAAGTACCTGTTATTCTCATTTAAAAATGAGGAAACTTAAAGAGTTTAATTAATGTGCCCAATTCACATAGCTAAGAAGCTGAAGAGCTGAGAATATGGCATGTGCTTGCTGTTTACTAAACATTGTACTGTTTAGATGGGAGGAGGAGGGTAGATATTAGAATATTTACATTATCAGCATTTTAATGCTTATGCATACTTAAATTCAAATTGAGATAAATGTTTTAGGGAATAAAGACTCAGAGGAAGATGGCCCCTGACCTACTAGAACTGGCTCTACCTGTTATAAATAGGTTTATTAAACCTCTTGTTACAATAAAGAATCCATCTGATCAGGCTATCACTGTGGGAAAAAATGCTCATTACTTACCTGTCTTATAAAGAAGTCTCCATGAATTAGAGAAACAATTCCAAAGTTTGTGTATTTAAAAATATGATCCATCAACCACATCATTTGAGCAACAACCTAAAACATTTAAAAGCAAGAAATAATTAAATGTTGGATAGAAGAAACCTGACTACTGTCTAGCCAAGTCTCTAAGTTTTAAATATAATCTAAGCATACTCTTAATTAACCTAAATACCTTAAATCTGGTGTTATGTCTATGAATAAGGCACCTTTATAAAGTCTACTTTTACTGCCTTCATCATCATTTTTATCATGAAAACTAATAGATCTTGATTCCAAGTCTTAGAATCCTAAGTCACAGATACATATACATACACACACACATATGTGTGTGTGTATATATATATATACACACACATATGTGTATATATGTATATATATACACACACACATATCTGTCTATACACACATACATATATTTCACTTAATGATTTCAAATTTGTTCCACTCTAAAGTCTCTGGTAATTATTATATAACTTGTAAAATTATTTTCAAAGAATATGATAAAATATGGCTACAGTTATCAAATGAAGGCTATAAGCTTAATTAAAATACTCATTCATATCTAAAGCAGAAGACTTTATTCCAAGCAAATTTCAAAATTAAAAGAAAGTCTAAACAGAGGTCTAATTAATTAATTGGTTATTATTCTTCTCTGCTGAGGAAATAGCATTCCTTGTTATAAGCCTTAAAATGAAAGCTACAACTTCAATCAAAACACAAGACCAAGACAGCTCTACTTTGGTTTCTATGGAAATAACAAATGCAAACTTCATCTCTAAGCACCAAATTATAGGAACTTACATATTAGGAAAAAAATAAACACTGATACCTATGCGCTGCTTTTACGAAAGCATTATAAAAGCCCACAAATAACATATTAAAGTTTATACCTTAAATTTTTTTACTATCACTAAATAGTTCAGTTACATGATTCCTACAGCATAATCTTTACTATATTAGATCACTTTTTAAAACACATGTCCAGTGAAGAGTTGATTTCCCCAGCTCAATTTATCCAGAAGAAAATAATCACCAACATCTTGTATTTCAGTCTTGCTTTGCTTTGTGATGATGACGACTTTGTTTAAGTTAAATTGAGATTTGAACTAAATGGAATTTATTGAAAAACGCTCTAAGGAGCAAAACAAAAATGAGCGGATTCAACCTATAAAACTTTGAGCTTCATAGACACCAAGAATGGACTAGTGATTACCAAGGGGGAAGGGCTGGTGTGGGTCAAGCAGGAGTGTGAAGGGGAGAAAGGTGCATAATAATTTGCAGTTACAATATAAATTGGTCACCAGGATGGTAGTACAAAATGGAGAATATAGTCAATGATTCTGTAACATCTTACTATGCTAATAGATAGTAACTGCAGTAGGAGGAGTGAGGATTTAATAATATGGGCAACTGCTGAACCACGGTGTTGTATATTTGAAACCAACATAAGATTGTGTATCGATACTTCAATAAAAAAAAATTATAAACACACACACATAAAAAAACTTTGAGCTTTATACATAGTATGAGTTTAGCTATAATTTATAGGTCTCTGGGTTTAAAATACCAATACTAAATTAACTAGCTTTTCTGTTTGACCTTACTTTTATAATGTATTTACCTCTTCAGTTAGAAGGGTCACCTAAAACAAATAAATTTAACAAGACAGTCAACCTATCTTCTGAGACTTGTATGGATAATTCTAACTTATTTTAGGAGAAATGTTACAAGTCAATAAATGTTTATCTAATCTTTCTTTTGGCAAATAAAAATTCAGTTTTTTCATCAAATGCCATGAAAGGGAAAGACTCCTCACTTGACAGATACTTACTAAAAAGATAGCAGCCCATTCAGAAAATACAATTAATGTTTTGTTTCATATTCCTCAAAAAAGAGGGTAAATAAACACAAGCTGCCTGAAGCAACGCTGTCAGTGTTCCATAGGCATTTCACTCAGAACTTTGTTAGGTATTTTCAAGAGACAAATCGGTCTACATCAATTATTCTTTATCTGAAAGCAGATTTTCTACCTATCAAAACATGTAAAGAGGCTTACGTGAATGACTCCTTCTTTATATCCTTCTGAAATTATAGTGAAGTCAACGTTTCTCCTGTTTAGAAATTTCTAAGGACGATTTTGGTTGTCACAATGAGAAGCGAATGCTACTAGAATTTACTGGGTAGTAGCCAGGATTGGAAATCATCTAGCAATGCCCAGGACAGGTCAGGACAACAGCACTGTCCTACCGAAGTGCCAATGGGGCCCCCACTGAGAAGCACTGACAAGTGCTAAAAGTAGTCTTCTGAATTCAAAAGGCTATGTTATGCTCACATTGTCATTAAAGTAACATTTTTTAACTGGCCCACAGTTTAGCACTAGCATTCTATCTTTGAATGTGCCTATGGAGTGTGCAATAAACCAAATTAACATTCCTACTTGTAAATACAAATTAAAATTGTATTATATTTATTAGGCAAGAGGTAGAGATTATAATGCTTCCAGCTTTATATTTCTCAATAACTCTTTTATGACAGAAGATAAAAAATTCTTCAAGATTTCAAATTATTTGGTAATATCAAATAATAATAAAAAAATTGTTTAGTATAACTAGTCTGAACATAAAAACAAAATTACTCTGGACAGAAAAGTGAACCTTGGACTAACAGAAATCTTTTTACAAAAGCAAACGAACAAACCAAATATTTTACTCTTTTTTTTTAAAATTGAAGTATCATTGATATACAATCTTCTATTAGTTTCAAGTATACAACATAGCGGTTCAACAGTTACCCGTATTATTAAATCCTCACCCCCACTAGTACAGCTACTATCTGTCAACATAGGAAGATGTTACAGAATCACTGATTATACTCTCCGTGCTGTATTACTATCACTGTGACCAACTTATATTATGACTGAAAATTCAAACCAAATATTCTTTTGTCCACATATTGGGGGATTTCAGATTACCTCATATTCTAGTTAGTACAGTTGTAATCTATGCCATACTGGAATTAAAGTAATAAAATTAGGCATATTTATACTGATCATTTTAATCATTCTTTGATACTCAAAAACCAGTTATGGACACTGCAGACCCTCAGATAGTCACTGCAAATGTATGAAGAATATCAGGAAGAATATAAATGTTTATTAATTGGGGATTCTCTTTGATACAAATCAAGTAAACTAGTTTTCAGAAAATTTTAACATCATAAATTTAGGAGACAGGTAATAAATATTATTTTAAGTGCAAAATATATCTGTGCAGTGGTATTTTAACAATTCAAGATTCTGAACATAAGAAAGAATTGAATCTATTCTACATTCCAGCAAGATTATGCCTCTGTCTTCCAGATAAACAGATTCCACAATAAGCAAACATATGTACCTTTACTCTCCCCCCATTTTCTGACCCCAACCTAACCTACTGAGCCCAGATCTCTAGAACCTAAACACCCCAGGCTTATTCTTCGTTGGTGTCTTGGCCAAGACTGTTACTAAGGACAAAGGACCTTGCTTCACCAATCTGCCTAACTAAATTATTCTTACTCTTCAAGGCCAAGTTTATGTCCTCTCCTCTCTATCAAGTTTTCCATATCATCCAGTATAGGCTGAGCTCACCTTCCACCGAACATGCCTTACTCTGCAATTAACTATTGTTTGCTATACCCTCCCTTCACCTGCTACAGGACTGGTAGCTCCTTCAAAAGCATCTCTTATAGATGGTGTTCTACATTTATAGATGCTGCCAATGAACATCAAGTACTTAAGAAAGACCTGTTCATTTGTTTTGCTATTAGGTCAACTATTAACTCCATTAATTTTTACACACTTTCTATTTATTTAGTTTTCTATGCATATAACCTCTTTAACCGCTCCTAAGGCAATTAATTCTTTTAAAGCATAAGACTATATTAATTTTAAACCTATCCAATTGATAAATACATTTTAGTAATCAATATAAACAATGTGAAATCAACAGTTCAACCACAGCCTTAGGAATACTAGCTTTCCTTTCAATTTGCTTTGTAAATGAAATACAAAATAATATTTAACTTATTTTATTCTAGCTAAAGATCCCCACAATCACCTAATTCACTGATCAATTTTACTCTCCTATCCTGCACAATAATACTGCCTTTTGTGTCTGTAGTTCTCAAACTGGCAATCCACCACTTCACCGTCAAGACAGCCCCCAATATGAACCACATTAACTATGTTTTCATTTCAGTTATTTTTTTTTAAGTTTATAGAGGTATCATTCACATTATCCCAATTATTTTTACATCTCTAAATTCCTCTCATAGAGTAATTTAGAATTATGTAAGATTTTCTTGTTAAAATTTTCTAAATTTTCCAGGAAAGTCTACATATTAAAGTCTAAGCCTCTGATCCAAAACATAGTAAAATACTGGTTGATTCTCTGTCAATCCCGCCTTGCTGCTGTCCACTGCTGTCTTAGGCCGGCTTACCAGTCCTTTGTCTTGGAGGCACATCATCAGAGTACACACATCTCCTGTCGCCTGATGATTCACCAGCATCACTGCTTCATCTTTTGAAATTGCTTTAATATCTTCCCCCCATTCCATCACTGTAAGAATGAAAAAGCTGTCACTTTAAAGATTTTCCCATTTCTAGAAGCCATGTATTAGAAAAACTGGTGTAATTAACAATGATATAGCACCTAGCTAAAATTTCTGGAAAGTTTAGAAGTAAGTTTATTTTCTATAAAAATCAGGACATTGATAGAACGCTTTATTAGAGCCCCAAAATTTCCATTAAAATGTAGTAAGTAATACCTCTGATGTAGAACTTTCTTAGAATTTATCGTACAGAAATATTTATCCAAATAGGCAAGAATATATGATAAAGGATGTTTATTGGAAGTTAACTGTTCACCAATAGAGAATGGATAAGAAATGTATGATAAAATGGGAAAGTATAAATCCATTAAAAGAATGTAGGGTATCTTTGTACACTAACCCAAAAAGGACTTGTTACCAAGTAAACAGCAAATCATAAAACAGTGTATATAGTATGGTTCCAACTTTTTAAAAAAGGAATAAACTTATATGCAATTTAATACACTGAAAGAAGTCTGGGGAAATGAATTCTAAATTATTAATATTCATCTCTATGGGAGACAGTTCCCAGAGCCCTTCAAGTTCTACTTTATAATAAAATATGAAAACATTACAAAAATATCTAAGTATTCTCATTTTAAAGTAAGAAAACTAATAAAGATGTTACATTTGTTAAAAATCTCCATATGTTAAGCCATTGCACCAAAACCTTCATGTATGCATACTCTAGGGAAAACATTGATTTCTCCATACAGTTAATGCAAATTTTATAGTAAATTTACCTTATTGAAAATAAAATTGTACATCAGTTTTAACATCAGGATTCTACAAAGAAGCTTCTAGGGTTCCTCAAATGTCTGGCATGAATTACTAGAGGCTGATTATATATTAGTGTTCATTCATCTCATTGCTGTGAGGAAAGAAGTTGAGCCACCAGTGTGTGGTAAGTTCTGGATAAACTAGGGATGGGGAGGCCAGAACCCACCTGCCACCCCTCTCCCTGTCTACCTCCTTCCCCAGTCACCCTTCATTTATACCCTAACATACTGAGGCTCCTCATAAGAGCTCATTTGAGAAATGGGTTCTGCTAATTTTTTTTTTCAGTTAAAACCCATTTAAGATTTTTTGGAAGAGTTCAGTGCAAGGCACTGATTCATTCATTTTACAGATCTTTAAATTTTGTTAAGGGAATTTTCAGCTGGGCTGAACATACTAATTTGTGGTGCCTTCTTGCAAAGTGAGGTATTTCATTCAATCTATCAGATGTTACTACTAATACTCAAATAGCTTACACTATATGGGCAAAAAATTTATTTTACGATTTTTAAGTGAATGCAGCATGGAAACCACATAAAGGGCTATCAGAGGTTCCTTATGAGCTAGAAGAACCCTGGGGGAGCCCCACCCCTTGACAAATGCAGCAACCCCAACTTCCCTTCACAGGGGCCTTTCCTTTCCCAAGTTCCCAATTCTCTTTAGCTGACAAGCTACCTAGACATATTTAAACAGCTTTTCTATCATACATGGCTACAGGGAATATGAATTGGTATAATAGTTTTGGAAGTCAACTTGGCACTATATATCAAAAGCAAGAAATATGAATATCTTTCTACCCAGAAATTCCACTTCCAGGAATCTCTTACAGATGCACTTATTTATGTGCAAAATAACACCCACGCAAGGCTATTTGTTGTGGCAATCCTTGTAAGTACAAAGATGAAAACAACTGAACTGGGAGACAAGCTCAAATCCACAGAAACTGGAAAAACGGTGGTCGCCAGCAGGGGGAATGGGAGGCTGCTGCTGCATTAGTACAGTTTTGGTTTTGCAGTGTGAAAAAGTTCTACAGATTGTTTACAAAATAATGTGAATATACTTAACAATACTGAACTGTACACTTAAAAATGGTTAAGGTGGTAAATTTTATATTTCATATCACAACTGAAAATAAAGGAGATCAGTTAAATTATTATGTATCTATACAATAGAATATTATACAATCATAGCATTTGTATACTAATATGGAATGATACACTTCCATTATAAATAAGAGCAAATTGTAGAACAGTATGTCAGGAATGCCACCAAGAGGGATAAAGGAGAATATATTTACTATATGAAAACTCCCCACTCCCCATATCACACCTCTGTTGACAGCCCTTTGCTGGAGACACACACACACCATTAATTTATTCTTCACTCAATAAATCAGCATCAGTCACTGTTAAGTGTTATGGATATAAAATAAATAAGAACAAAACAGCAGTTAAAATGCTCAAGAAAAGTCTAGCTTGGTTCTATAAATATTGGACTATTAAGAGGTAATGTGGAAAGTCTCTGGCTCCACATGCATATAAATACAGGTCTCATAATCAATATTCCTTAATGCAATCTCTGTTACATGAATGGATACTGCTAGATACCTAGGTCTATACAGTGGGAAAGCATATATGTGAATATAACTGCAAATAAAAAGAAGTTTTTCATGTAAATTGTATCTTACCTGTTTATACAAAGTAGATAAATCTATTAAGTGTGTTTGGTTTGCACATCAAAATTTATATTGAATTTAGAACCCTCTCTATTGGGTTGCATACTGTCCCCCAAAATATACATCTATCCCCAAACTGTGAATGTAACCTTATTTGGAAACATGGTCTCCACAGATACAATCAAGTTAAGATAAGGTCCATACTGGATTAAGGTGCGCTCCAAACCTAAATCCAGTATGAATGATGTCCTTATAAGAAGAGGGGAATGGTGTCTTTACAAGAAGGGACACACGGGGAGAATGCCATGTGGCAATGAGGCGGAGACTGGAGTGAAGTGACTACAAGCCAAGGACTGCTGGCAACCACCAGGAGCAAGCAAGAGGCAAGGAAGGAAGCTTCCCCAAAGCCTCCTGAGACAGTATAGCTCGGCTGATGGCTCAGTGTCATCTTTCTAACTTCCAGAACTGTGAGAGAATAAGTATCTGTAGTTTTAAACCCCCCAGTTTGTACACTTTGTTATGGCATCCCTGGGAAACCAATGTACCCCAAACCCCTCACCTTTTTCTATCCCTTCTTTTTTCCATTTTATTCTCCATTAATTTTTCCCTTATCAAATGTGCATTTTAGTAGACATCTAACATTATGTATTATAAAATGGTTCTCAATGTTCATCTCTATAATACTTTTGGGTATGATCATTAAGGAACTAATCCAATGTACATTTTATCTGTCAGCCACAACTTAGCCAAACTTTATTTTCAAACTAAATGGCAATTTACTAAGACTCACATGACATACTAAATAGAACAAGTGAAACTAGCTGGAACAACTTTTTATTTAGAAATTATCCTGATGTAGCAATAAAGTCATGCTGAATTCTATAATAATCCCCATTTTACTCAATAATAAATTTAATTTCCAACATCTACTCTTCTTTTACCATACTACTACCCACTTTAACGATCACTGTCAGTAAGTTACATAACTAACAAAATCAAACTAAAAAATGCTTGTAGAGAAAAAGCATTTACGTTATGTATGAAGTAGCTACATTCCTCAAATCATACCTTGCTATCCCAAACCAGTAAGTATAATAATGCAGCCAATATCTTAACCAAGGAATAGAATTATTCACATGTTAAAGAACAGAAACTATGGATGCCTGCCAATTCTCATATTGTACTTGTTTAGAAGAACAAAAATATTTTAACATACTGTTCAGTGAATTGAATTATCAAAAAAGAATTGGGTCAGGTCTACTATTTCCAAAGGGAATGAAGGACAACTGAATAAAAACTGGAAGAAAAGTTCTCTAGTTAGAACTGAATTCTAGTTAGAACTGAATTATTTAAATTCTTCTTAAAAGCCAAAGAGAAAGGTTATCACCTACTACACACACACACACACACACACACACACACACTTTCTAACATAACAATTAAACTTCCTCCAAAAGTTACAGACCAGAATTGCTCAGAACAGTTCTCATCTCAAAAAGAAAATAAAGAAAAAAACAATAATCCATCACAAATTCCTCAACAGTGGGGCTAAAGCCATTATACTGACCCAAAAAACAGAATATGAAAAAGGTTGCTTAATATATAACCATAATAGCTTACCTTTCGAAGTTTAAAAATTATGCTTGAAAGCTGACGCCACTATCTGGCCATTTTGTGCCTGTTTTCTCATTTATGAAACATTACTAACATTATTGATATTCAAACTGTAAAAATGAATGAGATATAACTGATATAATCACAGAAATCCTGGATAACTGGATTACATGACAACTGAAGTCACTTTTGGAATCACTATTAACTGAGAGTCATACATCTACTGTGTCATGCAAGGTCAGGTATTCTAATATGAATAGTAAAGATTAAAACAAAAAAATTAAAAACACAGGGAAGAATTTCACACAGCTCAAGAACTGTGGCTTTCAATAGCCCACACTGGAGGCAGACCGGACTGGGTTCATCCAAAGTTAGTGGTTAGCAGAGCAAATGGGGCAAGATGGAAAGGGAGTGACCGTATTAGGGGTGATGGTGAGAAAGTAGCTGAACGTACTGATTGGGGGAGGGGAGACTGGCGAGGAAAGGAACCAAGCAAAGGGATGATGTACTACAAGACAAGGGAGGGAGGGCTGTTACACCAATGCCATCCCCTCTCTCCCCCTTAACCCAGCCTATTCAAACACCCTGAAGTAGGGCCCAGACATTTTGAAAAAGCCTCCTGTTCCACCTCCACGTATTTATATAAAGAAAACAAAAACATGAACTCAAAAAGGCATCTACACCCTCATATTCATGGCAACATTACTTACAATAGCTAAGATATGGAAACAATCTAAATGTCCACTGATGAATGAACGGATGGATAAAGACAATGTGGCACGCATGTGCCATGCAAAACTATTTATCCAAGAAAAAAGAATGAAATCTTGCCATTTGCCACAACATGGATGGTCCTTGAGCATTATGCTAAGTGAACTAAGCAGACAGAGAAAGACAAATACT